CTGCCTCTCGTGCTGACAGTTAACTTGAAGGACTTGGGGAGGACGCTTAACTTCTCCCTCTGAATGCAGGTAACAGAAGGCAGAACAATGGTGGTGCAAGACACTAAATTTCTTTTCTTTTTTTTTTCTTTTTTCTTTTTTTTGGCAACTGGCCAGTATGGGGATCCAAACCCTTACCATTGGTGTTAGCAGCAACATGCCCTCCCAAGTGAGCCAACCAGCCAGCCCCAAGATGCTAAACTTAATTCAGTTGCCCGAGGAGGCTTCTGATCCCCCTGCCCACCAGACAAAGGGCTGAGCAGAGCACTCCTTCCTGCAGGTGTGGGCCCCAGAGATGGCAGTCCACTTCTGATGAATGAGCAGGTGCAGGAAACTCCCCTTTATGGAGAGCAGTGGGGACTGTATGTTTTAACTTGGAGTCATAAAGCAGATCTGTTTGTGAAGGCTTTATAACTCCGTTTCTTTGTGATGAGTATTCTTATTAAGAGAAAGAAAGGGTTGGGCAACAACCTGAATGCAGCAAACCAGATTGCTCAATATGGCATTAACTTCAAATACTCTATCCCACTGTCCCAACAAGTATGCTCACACTTCGCAAACTACAGTGCCCCAATCTTGGATTCAGAAAACATAGTTACTTTATGAATGACTTGTTGGTAAACACAATATTCATTGCTTAATAATCTGGAAAAGATGTGAGAATGAATTTGCAGTGATTTAGCACTTTTCATTAAGGAAATGCCATAAAAATGTTTAACTCTAATGTTTATTTTATTCTGATTTTTTTGTTAATCACATTTGCTTAGTTAATATGGAGTACTGGTGCCAAGTTTTTATCATTGCCATAGATTTTATGAATGATGGCAATTTCATGTACTGTTTTATTTGAAATTAGGTTGATTGTAAAGATTCACACAGAATTGCCTGTTAATTTTAGTGCTTAGTATTTATGCCATTGTATCAGCAGATCCCCCCCCACACACACACACAAACACACACACACATGCCTGCACACACACACACACTTTTTTTCCTTCATTATCAGTGAGATAACACATTTGCACAAGCTAGAAGCTTTCTAAGGGAAGGAATTTTTTTTAAAGGCTCTTTCATTCTTTTGAAGCCAGACAAATTTGATTCAGCAGAACATCGTTCTAAAATTGAGGAAG